ACCTCTAAGTGATTCTGATTCTAAAAATTGCCTTTGATTGTTAGGGCTTCATCTCTCCCACAACCAATGAGAAGAGCTGATTTACTATCTATGAAGGTATAGATTAATTTATGTAACAGACACGAATAAATATTACATTTTAAATCTTTATAAGAAATTTTATGTACAAGGCTTTTATTAGAAGTCTTTTTATTCCAAAAATAAAATGGCAATATTAAATTTTACTCTTAATGCATAATAAAACATACATTTTATTAAAAAATCTCAATTTACATACTAGCTTAACTAACGTTTAGTCAAAATATAGCACTAAAAAGTAAACTGATTTATCTGTACTAAAGTCTAACAAAAAAACATAAACCACTAGGTATGTAATCATAGAGTTCAAAATCAAATATTGCCCTTTAGAAATCCAAATTTCATTATTTTTATTTAAAAACATATATGTATAAATAATCCCATAGAAATCCAGGAATGATAGGTGGAAAACATTTATTTCTTGGCATATAATTTAATGTAAATAAATTAACTACTTTAAATAAGATTTCATTCTTAAAACAAAAATTTTAAAAGCTTGACCAGCTAACATCATTATATAAAAGAAAATAATCGATTAAAAGTTGACTTATTCATCAAGTCACTGTCCTTAAGCCTAAAATTTTGTTAAGAAATAATTTAGGTCCAAAAAATACCTAAAATGATAAAGTCAACTAGAAAAATAATAAAAACTTTTAGAAATACTCTGAATCATACTGAACATAAGAGAATGCTGATTTTGTCTTAACATGTATATTTCAAAATGAGGAAGACCTATTCATATTTCAGACTATTTTAAGAAACAATGAAGAACTGTGAGAGCTCATCACCTAAAATTATTTTAAATACGCAAGAACAAATGAGTAACAGAGGAAGAAATTCCATTCTAAGAGAATTCAAACCTCAGAAATTTGAGTCTTCACACACTAGATGTTTCTTTTGTTTTAGAAAATAAAAATAAAATGATTTTTCTGTCTTCTCATTCACCTGTATTGTACTGGACTTTAAAACACTTAACTAGCTACCACAATGAGGATGGAACCAACTTGAGAGTCAAAGACATAGGAAAGCAACGGCACTTATTATTGGCACTAATAATGGAAAAGACAAATGAACAAGAGCCACCATATGTATTTAGAACTTTAAAGTATTAAAGTTCTCGCTCATATATTGTTAGTAAACCTGTGAGGTCACTATGACAAACAGCAATACTTTTATAGGTAAAGACGTTAAAGTTCAGAATGACTGTGTATTTTATAAGTCACAGCTTGAACAGTTTAGAGCATTACAGAAATACTCTATTTACCAGCCTTTATTTCTAACTAAGAGAAATTCCTAACTCAGAGCAATCTGAACACTTTTACTGACCAAATGTCTTATACAAATAAGTTAATAAGTTAGATTAGTATAAAATTAGCATCTAACAATCTACTGATTTAAAATTATTCAATGATATATAAGAAAATTCTCACATATTAGTACAAATAAATCATGTGTAATTTAAGAAATATTTACCTGTTATAGAAGTAAGGCCCATACAAGTGGCTGCTATTATCACTCCCAAGACTGCCGCAGTATCCTCCAATAATATAACATTTGTACTAGGATCACGACTTTCCATTACTTAATCATTGGGGGAGAGATAAGAAAAATTTTCTGAAATCTTGATGCTCTAAGGTAACATTTTCATAAGTATCCATTTAAAATTAAGGTATAAATTAAGATAAAAAAATGTACAAGATCCTGATTTTAAAAACCCTGCTGAATGCAAATATTAATTTCTTGGCTTAAATGTGCAAATTTCTTCCTCAAGTTATATAAGCATATACAGAAATACTGTAGTTTACTTAAATCATCCAAATATAAAGTATTCATGTTCAAATTACATTTCTTCTTTATTTTTTAAGGTCTTTTTTATTATTGAGATAACATTGCTTAATAACATTATACAAGTATCATGTGTACAACATAATTCAATATCTGTATACACTATAGCATGCTCATCACCAGGAGTCTAGTTTTCATCTGTCACCATACATTTGACCCCTCCCTGACCTCTACCCATTTTGCTTTCTCCCCATCCCACTTCCCTTCTGGTAACCACCAATCTGTTTTCTGTATCTATGAGTTTTTGTTTATTCCTTTCTTTCTGTTTGTTTTATATTCCACATAGGAGTGAAATCATAAGATTGTTGTCTTTTTCCCTCAGACTTACTTCACTTAACATAGTACCGTCAAGGCCCATCCAAGATCCATGACAATATTTCATCCTTAAGGCTCACTTCTTCTTCATGCATTTGTCTATCGATGGACACCTAGGTTGCTTTCATATTGTAGCTATTATAAATAATGCTGCAATGAACATAGGGGTCCATGTGTCTTTTTGAATTAGTGTTTTCATATCTTTTGGATAAATACTCAGAAGTGGAATTGCTGGGCTATCTGGTAGTTCTATTTTTAATTATCTGAGGAATCTCCATACTGTTTTTCATAGTGGCTGCACCAATTTACATTCCCACCCACCAAGAGTATATGTGTTCCCTTTTTTCCACATCCTCTTCAAAACTTATTTTTTATTTGTTTATTGGGGTAACATTGGTTAATACAATTATACAATTTTCACGTATACATTATCATTTGACATCTGTATATTCTATTGTTTACCACCCAAAGTCCAGTTTCCTTTAGTTACCATATTTGATCTTCTTTACCCACTTCGCCCTCCCCCTAAACCCTATATTTGATCTCCTTTATCCCATCTACCTCCCTGCTCCAACCCCACCCTACTAGTAACCACTAGTCTATAGTACTCTGGTAACCACTAGCCTATAGTCCATTTGTCCGTCTGTTTGTCCTGCTCATTTGTTGCTTTTGGGTTTATATCCCACATATAAGTGATATCATGTGATTTTCAACATTTTCTGTCTGGCTTATTTCGCTTAGCATGATTATCTCGAGGTCCATTCATGTTGT